TAGACTCCTCAAGACTTAGGTCGTACTAATCTTGTTACTCACTCTATTCTTACTGATAATGCCCTTCTATTAAACAATGGTATTATCGCATATCTTCTAAAGAACAGGAATTTTTAAAAACAGAAATTGATAGAATGCTCTGGGAAGGCCTTATTCAAACTTCTTACAGCCTCTGGGCTTCTCCCGTTATGCTTGTCAAACAACATGACAAGACCTGCTTTTGTATTGATTATCGCTGACTTAATGCTATCACAAAGAAGAACAGGTATTCCTTACACCGAATCGATGACCTTTTAGACACCTTCCAGCATTCTTCTTGGTATATGTCTCTTGATCTCGCTAGTGATTACTGGCAGATCGAGATGAATCTCCATAACAAGGAAAAAACTGCTTTCACATCTTAATTCTGTACCTTCGAGTTTAACGTAATATCTTTTGACCTCACTAATGCCCTGCGACTTTTCAAAGATTAATGAATCAGATTTTTAGAGAAATCATTAGAGAGTTTGTAGTCGTTTATCTAGATGATATAAATGTTTTTTTCTCCTCTTTTGATGAGCATATCCAGCATTTGGCTGAAGTATTCAATCGTCTTCAGAGCACGGGACTCAAGTTGAACCCAAAGAAATGTCACTTTGCTAAGGAAGAAGTAAAATTTCTTGGGTATATAGTTAATAAAAGTGATATTTTAACTGACCTGAAGAAAGTGGAGATTGTAAAGAATTTCCCTATACCAACTAATCTTCGACAACTACGCAGGTTTCTGGAACTCGCCTTCTATTATCATTGCTTTATCTGTGACTTTGTCTAGGTCGCTACTCTACTTAACCGATTGTTAAAAAAGGACATCAAGTATATATGGACTGAGGATCAAGAGAATGCTTTTAATACTCTCAAAGAAAAACTTATCACAGCCCCATCTTTGCTTATCCAGATTTTTCACAAGAATTTCTCCTTTTCATAAATGTATTGGGTGTTACTTTAGAAGCCATTCTTTCTCAAAAAGATCTTCAAGAGAAGAAGTGAGTGATTTATTATGCAAGCAGAACCATGACCCTAGCAGAGAAAAACTATTCGGTAACTGAACAGGAGTGCCTAGCCATTGTTTGGACTATTTCTTATTTCTATCAATACCTCCATGAGTTACGATTTACTATCATTATGGACTATTTGGCTCTCAAGTCTCTACTATACTATCAGCTACCACAGAGATGTCTTGCTCATTAGATATTGGCTTTACAAGAGTATGAATTTTTGGTCAAACATCATCCGGGCCATTACTATTCGAACGCTGATAGTTTCTCCTGGCTTGTCAATTCGTTGGTCCCGAAATCTAAATCTTCTCATTATTTTGCGTGTTATACCTGTTATCAGTCTGATCATTGCACCCCTGAATATCATTTCATATCCCCGTTCAAGTCTAATAAAAATCTCCATACTAATTTAACTCTAATCTCTCAATTTTGACTATCTGCATTTCTTTCTCACCTTATTTATTGTACACAATTACTACTTTTTACTCTAACAATTACTTTTACACATCTATTTACCACCATAGATTATAATCGATACCAAATCTACTTCAAATATCTTAGTGATCCCAATTATCAACATGAATTGCAACCCTTACAACGAAAATCTTTGCAACATCAAACCTGATACTTCGTCATTGTCAATCAAACACTTTATAAAAAATACTATCAGTCACTCTATCGACTTTTAAGAGTCTTATTATCCACAAAATCATTGCTGCTCTTTTTAGCATGCATTCTGATCCTCTATCAGAATATTTTAACACTTTATCAACCTTTTAATGAATTTCTGTTTGATATTTTTGGCTACAAATGGGCGAAGATGTCAAATGATACGTCAAGTCATATGACACCTGTCAACGTAAAGAAAAACCCTCAACTTGTGAGCCGCTATATCCCATCAAGATCGGTCAACCTTTCGACAGAATAGGAATAGATCTTGTTGGTCCTCTGCTCTTACTAAAAGAAGAAATCATTATATTGCTGTTGCTACAGAATATCTCACCAAATAGCCTGAAGCTTAGGCTATATTAGATGCATTTGCAGCTTCTGTGGCTTCATTTTTTATAGAGGATATTATTTGTCAACACGGAAGTCCTTGTGAGCTTTTATCTGATCAAAGGAAGCATTTTGCTAATAAGCTCGTCAAAGCCATCTGTGTTCAATTCTAGGTCAATCATAAGTTCTTTTTCCATTATCACCCTTAAACAAACAGTTTGGTCGAATATTTTAATCAAACCTTTTGTGAAGTATTGGCCAAATGTTCTATTCAATTCTTAGGAGAGTGGGACCAGTACGTTTCTCCTGCTTTATTTGCTTACTGTACTATCAAGTATTCTGTTACCCAATATGAACCGTTTTATCTTCTATATAGTCAGGAGGCCTTACTGCCTTTTGAAGTTACCATACAAGTCCGGAATTGCCTCTGTTGGATAAACAAGCTTTGCAAGCTGATATCCTCTGAAAAATTGAAGTTTTACTAGAAGATTTACCCCAAGCCCATTTGAAGGCTCAAGAAAAGACGATTAAAGCCCAGAAGTGCTAGAAAGAACGACATGAAAAAGTTATCATATCAGTGATAAAGTTCTTTGTTACTGATTATTCCTAGAAAATACCCATAAAGGCAAGTTAGAACAGAAATAGAAAGGACCTTTCTATATTCATGATGCTTCTGGAAACAGTAGTTATAAACTCTGGACCTTTGACGATCAAGTCCTAAAGCAAAAAGTTCATGAAAACTGTTTGAAATATTATTTAACCCTTGATGAAAGTGACAACCAGATGATATCCTATCATTAATCTTGTGGGAGCTCGATGATCAAGGAGAAGATTGTTACTATTATTATGTGAAAAATTTTCTGTGCTTCCATCATATGACGATCATTCATTGTAAACTGTTAATCGTATTACTTTATTTTTTTTCTTCTAATTTTAGTAATATTTTTATAGATTATCTATTTCCTATTTTGTATTCTTGATATACATAGTATATCTTCATTACTATATTTAGCTACCCATAGATAACTTATAGATGCAAAGTCTTTAGAGATTAGACTCATCGATAAGGTCGAGTTTTGCCTTGAGATAAGTTCTATCATTAAGTTATTGGTTCCTGTAATAATTGCAATTGTGTATAAATCGCCAAACTTGGGAATAATAATAGAGTTATCCGCATTGTTTTAATTATTCTGAAGAACAGAACACATTTACTTATTATCAAAGTGTTGCATAATAAGTAGAAAACAAAGCGATTCTTACAAGAAAAAATAGTTGGAAAAGTTTTGTAAAAGGTGTAAGGTGTATAACAGGAGAAATAATAGCCTAACAATTGAATAGTGTATTAATTTATATGAATGATTTATATATTTAAAGACACGATTTTGACCTTAATAAAGTTTTTTCAGACTTCGATCTTTTATATTTGAAATCATACACTTATCATATTATCGAATTCTCACTCTTTTATCCTGATCCCTTGATTAAACTATCGTGAATACATCTTCACAGCATTATCTTTGATTGATTATCATGAACATACTTTCACGGCTTTATTCAAATTCTTATTATATTATTATTATATATGCCTGTGCTTGGCTTTATTGTTAAAATCACTTAAAAGCAACTTGCATTATTATTAAAAATCTGGTATAATTAAAATAAACTATACAGCTTCCTAAATTTGGCTTTATTATATTACCCCTTTCTCTGTTATACATACACCCTGATATCTATATCATGAATATATCTTCACGATCGTATCTATTTATTTGTTATATCATATAATTATTACAACAATAATTATTTACCTATTGTTATACCTATCTTACTTTGGTTCACCACTCCTTTATTAATCTATATCTGTCCCAATTCTATATAAAGAAACCACATTTCCTAATTAGTCTAACCGTTATTTACTATTACTGATCTAATTCTGGCCCCCTTACTAACGCTCTTCCGAAATTATGATAGTAACACTAGCTATTCCAAACTACCAATCCCAATGATCTAAAAGAGACTTTTATCTAAAAGTTACTGGTCTCCTAGTAATCGCAATTAAGCAAATCTTTTTTCCCTGACCTCAATGGCCTGGTTAATGGGTGCTTTTGCTATACACCTCAGTCCTATTCAATTTCTGGTTTTTTCTGGTAATAATCCTTTGTATAGTACTATTGAAGATTTGTATTACTTCTCTACTTGGGTCTTGCCAAGCAGATATCTTTAACTTTAATTCTTTGGCTTTATACGAATTACTGGTTAATAATCTTTCCAAATATAGAATATTTAGTATAACCTTAGTTACAAATTAGCAATCTAATTTATTATTACGGTAACCATTCTACAACAGAAAATTCAAATTTCGTCGACAATGGGATTTGAACTCTGGATGTACTACTTGGGGTGCGACAACTTCACTACTTTACTAAATTATCACATCCATCAAATTGATTTATATTATCCAACAAATCTAATATCTTATAAATATTTAATTATTTGAGTATCAGTTATTAGAAATCACAAGTTATCAAGTTTGAATTATGGAACAGACATGGTAAACCAATTTTTTATCAAGTATAACAGGTTATCAGTTTTGACAAGATCAGTTTTGAGAGAGTAGACTATACAGTCGGATCTCTCTAAATGCAACTTCTCTAAATATATATATATGAAAAACCTCTCTAAATACATATCTTTTTTTGGCCCCAATTAATATAACACTTATAGATTTTTATCTTTCTAAATGCATAACCTCCCTAAATATATATTTTTAAAATTTTTTACTATGGTCCCGATGTTATACATTTAGAGAGGGTTGACTGTAGTAATAAACTGTAATTCTATAATATATTTATAGTGAGTTTATTATATTTTTATTAAATTTATTGTTTTTATATTATTATTTTTTGATTTATACTTGAGTAAATTTGGTTATTTTGATTATTTCTTTAGTTATTATATAGTATTTTTGTTTGGTTTTAGGCTTTTATTTTATTTTTTTTGTTTAAACATATTCCTTAGGGGGCATCCATAAATAATGTTATATACCCCCACATAGTAACCCTTGACCCCCTAAACTATATAAAAAAAAATTTAAAAATCCGTATGTTTATATATAAATTTTTACAAAACCTTAATTATCTTGTGACTCTGTAATCCAAATTAGATAAATTTGGTACCATTAGATTCGTCTCAATAAGAGGCATCTAATAGTACCAAAATTATTCAATTCGGATCACTGAATCAAAAGATATAGGCAAAAAACTGTTAATTTTATAGTAATTTCATATAAAATAATATAGCCAATAGTTTTTTGCCA